TGGTCAATGACATGAGACAAACTATATGTGAACTGCTGTATGAAAAGTGAATTTACTCTGTAAATCTTCACCCAAATCAAAATAAAATTAAAAAAAAAAAAAAAAAAGTGTGGCCTGTGATTCAGACTACATGGGTTTGAATCTTGGTTCCACCGTTTTATAGCTCTGGGATCCAGGGTGAGTTACTTAGCAACTTTCTCAATTCTTCCAAACCATGATCTTCCAGTTTATCTTAGCAGTTATTGGCTTGCCTGATAAGGAGTAGCTTGAAGTCGTCATGGCTGTTTACTGGATGGATGATACTTGAGATTTGTTTAGAGTTTCGTATATTCGTTTTGTTTTGCAATTTCTTTTTGTGTGTGTGTGTGTGTGTATTAGCTTTATATAATGAAGTTGTAATTTAATTTATGACTTCTCTGCTGGTCACTTTACTAGGAGCCTATCTCATTACTTTTAATGATGATGACTACTAGTTGTACAGTGCTTTATATTTCACAAACATTTACATGTTTGTTTTCTGATTCAAAAGGAGCTTCTGGTGGTATAGTGGTTGAAGCCTTTGGCTGCTAACCAGAAAGTTGGCAGTTTGAACCCACCAGCCACTCTGTGGGAGGAAGATGAGGCAGTTTGCTTCCATAAAGATTTACAGCCTTGGAAACCCTGTGGAACAATTCTGCTCTGTCCTATAGGGTCGCTATAAGTTGGAATCAATTCGATGGCCATGGGTTTGGTTTGATTTTTCTGGTTTGATCCTTACAAAAACCTAGTGAAGGAAGTAGGCTGTTTATTCCCAGTTACAGAGGAGGAAACTGTAGCCTAGTAGGGTTTGGCGATGGCATAGTCATTCAGCTAGGTATATTAGCTCCAGACCTTGTACTCAGCCTGTCTCTCCAACATCCCATTTGGCATAGCTTATATGTTGGTAAATCTGACTCCTGTTGGACACTTTAGAATTGGAGTACATACTAATGAGTATGTCATCTTTACTACTTCCAGGTTTATTTTTGTGTGTCATAGTTATAATTGGGAATTAATATATGTTTTCTGAGACATTTCATTTTTGTTTGTTTCTAGGGAGTGCAACCTGCCACAGGTGAGGTTGTGTTTGATAGTTTCCATGATTCTGCTTCCCGTTCAGAACTAGAAACTCGGATACTATGCCTGCAGCCAGTGGAGCTGCTGCTGCCCTCAGACTTATCAGCACAAACAGAGGCACTCATCCTCAGAGTAACGGCTGTTAGGTAAGTTGGCACATGCTGAAAACTCATGCTGATACTTATGAAAGTTACTGAAAATTTTTACTTGTGAAATTTTATTTCAGTGATAGTAGAGGACATTTTTAAAAAGAAAAATGAAATTATCCATGATACCACTTTACCATAGGACTACAGAGGTTGATCTTTTTAAAGGAGTTCATGATGTTATTTAATGATATTGTTTAGCCATTAATCTTCATTTTCTGGAGACCATTTAGAGTTCATGTCTTAGAAAGCGTATGTAATTCTAAAAATGCTTTATCTGTGCTACAAGTTTCAATTCATGTCCAGTAGTTTTATTTACTAAGGAGCCCTGGTGGTACAGTGGTTAAACACTTGGCTGCTAACTAATACGTTCAAACCCACCAGCCATTCCATGGGAGAAAGAAGTGGCAGTCTGTTTGGTAATGAACATAGCCTTAGAAACCCTTTGGGACAGTTCTGTCTTATAGGGCTGCTATGAGTTTGAGTTGACTTTATTGTAACAAATTAGGTTTATTTACTAGATCTAAGCCCACATCTCTTATTTATGTGGTGGCATGCAAAGGAAGAAGATGAGGTTGTGAAACATACATGTCTGTCAGAGTTTATAATCTGGTAGGAGAGGCACATGTGTGCATACCTAGCTGGATTTATAAGGCATGATATATCTAGTTGGGAAGATTCTATCCTGCCACCTGGAGGAGTATGGTGGGAGAAGAGACTGGAAAGGTGGGCTGGGGCTGGAGTGAAGAGGATTTTATATACAGGTAGTCCCTGACTTAGGATGTGGCTTCATTCTCAGGATTCTGTCGTATGTTGGTTTTGACATGAGTTGAATCTCTCTCTCTCTCTCTCTCTTTTTTTTTTTTTTTTTTTAGTTTTCATTATTATTGTCTATTATCAGTATCTTTATAAATCTGATCTTTATTTGTCTTTGGGGGTTGGAAACATTACATATAAATTTACAGCTGTATTTTAATACTAGGAGTTCTGGTAGCTTAGTGCCTAAGGCACTTAACTGCTAACCAGAAGGCTGGTGGTTCAAACTCAACAGCCACTCCTCGGAAGGAAGGTTGGGCAAGCCTACTGTCATATACCATATAATCATATAATCATATACTGTAGTGATACCACCTCAGAAACCTAAGGAGGGGTTGCTGAGTTGGGGCTGACTGGATGGCACACAACAACAACAACAACAACAATGTTTTAATACTAACATAGATACAGACAAAAAATACAGAAATCAGAAAAATTTACTCCAATGATGAAAAAAAGTTGGACAGTGCTGGCATTTTGTCATTTGTGGTAATAACTCCACTTATGGAAGGTGTTGGATTATCTGGATTATTCCTGGGAGTGAGGATGGTGTTTCTACTCAGAGAATCAGTGAGAATTGTTTGTATACTCCTTTCCTTTTTATCTTCATATATTTCATGGTAACATATCATGCTTCCTCTGCTTATTGACATTAACAAAGTGATCAGCATTTGGATCCATGCTTTCAAGCAACTAAAGTTCCTGTTTTAGTTTAGAAAACTAAGTCTGTTTGGCAGCGTATTTTTTTTCTTTTAGATTTTCAATGATATTTTACTTTTGAATGACTCACTTTGGGTAATCTCAAAGCCTGTAAATTATTATTATAAATAATAACCATAGGGTAGTTGTAATAGAAAAAAGGTTATTAAAAATCTGCTATAGTAACTTTAAAGAATGTCTGCTCTCTGTGTGGTTCCAGTTCACTTTCTAAATGCAGGAGGCACTGACAGTTTGAAAATGGTTAAATTTGGCATGCTTATAGCATAGTGGCTAAGGCACTTGACTGCTAACCAGAAGGCTGGCGGTTCAAACCCACCAGCCACTCCTCGGAAGGAAGGTTGGGCAATCCTACTTCCGTAGTGATACTGCCTCGGAAACCCAAGGAGGGGTCGCTATGAGTCAGGGCTGACTCGACGGCACATAACAACAACAACAACATCTAAAGCAAACTTCCAAAACTTACTTACATTTTTTAAAATTTTTTTATCGTGATGTGGGTGCAGATTTACAAAGGAGACTAGTTTTACACACAACATTTCATGCACATTTGGTTTCATGCCTCAGTTACAATCTCCAACCATTAAAATCTCTCCTCTCATCTCCTCTCTATGACTACCTTTCCCTGTGCCTTTCTTATCTATGCATTCCTGTCTGTCCAGCTTTCTCTCTGTGCAAATGCTGCTCTTCTGATGTCCTGTGGTTGATTGATCTAAGGGGTGCATCTCCCTAGGGTAGGTGAATGCATCTCCCTGGGGTAGATGTTGTACTTGTGGGTCTTTCAGCTACTGTGGCCGAGAGCTAATCCACAGAAGTGAGTCCAGTTTCAGGCTTGAAGGTTAACCCGGGGCCATATTCTCTGGGGTTCCACCAGCCTCTATCTATACAGTGTTTTAACAGGAAATGATAAAATTGTTCATCTGTGAGTGAACATCCGAGAACGGTAACATCAGCAAATTTTTGCACTGCAACATGGTATTTAGTATATACTACTAACAAAGGAGCTCTGGTAGCATAGTGCCTAAGGCACTTGACTGCTAACCAGATGGCTGGCGGTTCAAACCCACCAGCCACTCCTCGGAAGGAAGGTTGGGCAATCCTACTTCTGTAGTGATACTGCCTCGGAAACCCAAGGAGGGGTCGCTATGAGTCAGAGCCGACTCAAAGGCATATACAACAACAACAACAACAACTAACAAAAAGATGAAAAAAAAAAAAAAAAAGACAATTATAAGTGTGGTTCATTGTAACTCAAGTATGTCATAAGTCTAAGACTACCCTATATTGAGGATTTTGAAATTTAGAAGATTTTCAATTTAATTGGTAGAAAAATTTGTTAGAAAATCAAGACATTTGATTATGTGATTCCATATGTTTCTTTGCCCTTAAGGTTAAGAGTGTTGCTTTTTCATTTGAATTTAACTTCTTTCAAGGAAGCTTTTGTAGTTTATTTTTCTGCTTATAACAATAATACATATTCATTTAGGAGAAATTGGAAGGTATAGAAAAAAAAAAAAGATAAAAATATTAAATCAAGTCTTAAAACCCAGAGATGTTGCCACCACTTGTCTGTCAGTTTGTTGTGCTGTGGTGGCTTGTATGTTGCTGTGAGGCTGGAGGCCATGCCACTGGTATTTCAAATGCCAGCAGGATCACCAGGGTGGATAGGTTTTTCATTTGAATTTAACTTCTTTCAAAGTAGCTTTCATAATTTATTTTTCTGATTGTAACGCTAATACGTGTACATTTAGGAGAAATTGGAAGTTACAGAAAAAAAAAGTTAAAAATATTAGGTCAAATCTTATAACCCAGAAATAATTACTGTTAAAAACAATAAGCCTTTGACAATTAAAGAGATCAACTATTTATTCAGACAGAGAAAGTGAGAAATGTTTGCAAACGGGCAGTCAGTTCCAGGGAAATTGCTGTGAGGCAGTTTTTTGCTTACATGCCATTTATAATCTTGTGATAAAGGGAAGAATGTACAGTTGGTTCTTTGAAGATTATGCAGTAGTGCAGCAAAACAAGTCACATGGACTACACAAAATCTTAGAGATACAGGTCTTGGGAAAAAGAGACTTTTAGGCTAGCCATCTACCATCTGTTACTTCAAAGTGAGCAAGATCCTTGGGAAAATAAGAAGGGGCATTCTTGGGAGAATAATGAAGTTGTTTTGCAGGGGTGTATTTAATGATGCACCAAGAAATCTTGGATCATTGTCCAGGCTTTTAGGGAGTGGTTTAATTTTAATATACTATGATGCTTTGGTGTATTATTTTCTGTGTATGTATACTCTGTCACTTTTTTTCTTTTTTAATTTGTAAACTTAGCCTAAAGTGGCAAAATCAATTTAGATCCTGATTTTTTACTTAAAACTTCCCCAGTTAAATTTTTTAACTTTATTATAGAAAATTTCAAACATACAAAATTACACAGAATAGTGTAGTAAATCCCCACGAATCCACCCACCAGCTTCAACATTTATCAACTCAGAGCCGATTGCATTTCATTCATACTGCTACTGCTACTCACTCTCTCTTGGTTATTTTGAACCTAGGTAATATCATGTCATCTGCAAATATTTCAGTAGGTACTCTTGAAAACAAAACTACTACAGCACCTGCAGTCATAAAAATGTATCATAATTTATTTACCCATTTCCCTTTTGTTACGTTATATTCGTTTTTTTCTTCAGTATTACAAATTATGGTAGTTAAGATTATGTGTCAACTTGGCTGGAACTGGTTTTGAGTGGCTGGGCGGCTGGGTACAGTTATTCCTTGTGATGAGACCCCATGGTGGAATTGGTTGTGAGCAGCTGAGTAGCTGCCGTAGGGAGGTTGTCTGTTTCCAGTATATGAAGAGAAGCCTTGAGAAAGGTCTTGGAGCTTTTTGACACATCTTTATCCTGCGTTTGGCCGAGTCTCATCTCACTGGCCTGCCATGTGGTCTGCTGATCTTGAGACTGTTTTTGAACTTGAACTAATGGCCTGCAGTGTTGCTTGATAATTTGGGGACTATGCCATTTATTTATTGACCTTGGGTTTGTCAGTCTTAGCAGCCAGCATCTGTCTGAGTTAAGAGAAGCCTCCAGCTTCTGTGGTCCAGGAGCAAGAGGCAGAGCTGAAGCCCAAGGTGGAGGGGCTTTATCCAGCCCTTAGAGCTGGCACTTTGAACTTGGACTTCTAGCCTTCTAAACTGTAAGAGAATAAATCCCTGTTTGTTAAAACCATACATTTGTGGTATTTCTGTTATAGCAGCACTAAATAACCAAAACACAAATATTATTGGCATCTTTGATAGGAATCCTTTGATAGGAATCTCTTGAGTGCATTTCTTACTGTTTCAATCAGATAAATTCCTGAAGGTGAAATTAGTGCGTCAGAGGGTATGAATGTTGATACAATCGTCGATTGCTTGCTAGAATAGTAAAGGAGGGCATGCTTGAACTCTTGCCAACATTGGGG